TCCAAACACTTGGGATGCGTCAGCTTGCGGATCACGGCTGCGCCTTGCTGAATAATAGTCGCCCAGTACCCAACGCGATGACACTAGAAAGGCAAACCAATTAGACCTAAAGCTACCACAAAAGCAGTGATCATATTAGATAATGGCGTTAAATCGTCAGCTCGAACTGCCAAGTTTCGAATGTTTGGCGGGAAGGTTGCGCGCCAACAGCCAGTCTACCATTTGGACTAATTGGAGGGCGATTTTGGCAGAATGAATTTGAAAGGGATTCACGTAATCGCGATGCAATATGTATTGCAACTACTGAGTGATCGTGCACTATGTATCGCAATATCTGAGAGCACTACAATATGGCATTGCAAAATACCCAAACCTGCAATATATTTTTGGCCATCACCTGGTTCGTGTTCTCCGTTGGAGAACCTCCAAACAAGATGCCAATTTTGTCGGTTGGGTCGATTTGTTCGTTCAGCAGCACCGTCTTCACGTGCTCAGGAATGGCTCCGTTTCGCGTACTAATCACATCGGGATCCTTCGATGGGAGCCACTGCCCGCTATCAGTCTTTGCCAGGAAGAGCTGAAGCTTATGAGCCGGGCGCGTTATGTCCGAGTTTTCATCCTTCTTCTTGATCGCATCTTTCAACTCCGAAACAGACATATTCGCATCAATTGTGACAGAAAACGTGCTCCCTCGTGTACTGACCAGGACGCAGAACAGCTCCAGATGCACCATCTTTCCTCTAGTCGAACAGAATCTCGAATCGATTGGAGAATCTCGACAGATTCTACTCACAATCTGTCGTAACGTTGCTACAGAACAGCAGAATGTTTCTCATTCCTAACCAATAAGTCTCGTTGCCCTGACCAGTATCAATTATAGCACTAGTATCCGTTAGAGGAGGTAGAAAACATGAATAAAATCCGGTAAACCCTCAATTTAAGTACTTTAGCCCCACTAACACTTAGGGCATCCCCACTGATACTGAGTAAACTAAAACGAGGATAGGTGCAAATCAGGGAATTCGAGGCGACGACGTGTCCACCGGTGTTGGATGTAGCATGTCAGTAAAAACTAAAATCAAAGTTTCGCGGTGAATGGAAACTAACCGCAGCGCGTTGAACTACATCCAGTAGGACGACGGTGATGGAGGGGATGAGTTGATCACTGTGTTGGCCACCTACACCTCCTATAACTACGGAACCGTACCACCTCCGCGTGGATTCCCTACTGGGCGGTGCGCAAAAGTCGACCAAGGAGTCGAGGAAGGTCATGCTCGCCTCATTTGCGACTATTATGCTGAAACTCCTGTCTACAGCCTTCGCACATTTCACCGGCGATTTCGCATGCGCCACCCTCTCTACATCAGAATTGCCAAAGCAGTGGAAGCACATGACAACTACTTCGAACAGAGGCATGACGCAACAGGGAAACTGGGACTCTCCGCTCTGCAAAAGTGTACAGCAGCAATATGGTAGCTTGCATACGGCATGCCTGTTGATACTGTCGACGGGTACATAAGAATCGGGGAAAGCACCGCGATCAAAAGCTTACTCAGGTTTTGTGTCGCTGTTATTGCTGTATTTGGTGATGAATACCTACGAGAACCAACCACGGAAGACAGTGTGCGCCTAGCAGCGATGCACGAGGAGCGCGGTTTCATTGGGACGTTGGGCAGTTTGGATTGCATGCACAGGGCATGAGCAAAATGCCCAACAGCTTGGGCAGGACGATATACAGGCAAAGAACAAGACCCAACCATTGTACTGGAAGCTGTAGTCTCAAGAGATCTATGGTTTTGGTACGTATTCGTTGGGATTTTAGGCTCCCATAACGACATTAATGTCCTTGGGCGCTCCGATCTGTTTTCAAGCCTCGCTAACTCCGACGCTCCTCAATGCCGTTACACAATTAATGGCAACGACTACGACATAGGCTATTTTTTTACTGACGGTAGGTAGGAAGGTAGAATTTGTTCACATCTCCTTCTCGTATTCTAAACCATCTCTGTCTCTGCTGAAAATTTTGACAAGTATCTATCCTGCATGGGCAACATTGGTGAAGTCTATTCCATTCCCAAGGGACATCAAAGAAAACACTATGCTACGAAGCCAGAAGGTTTGAGGAATAACGTTGAACGGGGATTTGATGTTTTACAAGCGAGGTTTGCAATTGTCAAAGGCCCCAGCCGATTCTGGAGTCCCACGGATCTAACCAAAATCATGGAAGCATGCGTTATTCTCCACAATGTAATTGTTGAAGACGAACGTGGCGAAAATCTGCCTTGGGATTACGACGGTGCTTCAAACGTAAGCATCTATCACATCGCTGCTGATGGTTCGGAAGATCACGATAATTCTGATATTGGCTTTGATAGTTTTCTTGCTCGCCTAACAGCAATTCGAAGCAAGCAGATGCACATTCAACGTCAAAAGTATTCAGTAGAACACTTGTGGCAACTCAACGGAGTTAACATTGACTAGCTAACTCAATCCTAACTTGACGCGTCAAATTCTTGTTCTAATTAGGATAATATCTGAGCTTGCTTCAAATTTTAGTATCGCTGTTGCATTGCGCTCATTCCATCCAATCTGCGAGCCATTATTTGCTCGTTTGTTGCATCTTCCAACAGCTTGTTCTTTCTCTCTGTTTCATGTGCAAGTTTTTTTTACAAGAGCAGCCAAACTAGCCTCGGTATCGAGGGGTTTCTTTGCCGTTTTCTTCCCGACCGGGTGCTCAAGTCCAGCCTGATCAGCTATGGCAGCAAAGGTCGCTCCACTCGAAGCTTCCTTACGCTTTCTGGAACCGTTTTGCTTGTCAACGACTCGAACCACTTAAGTTAGTGCCGAAGAACCAGCCATACGGCTTGGCTTGTGAAAGCAGAGCCATTTTGTTATCGATACTGTAGTGGGCCTAGGGCTCACTAGTTAGCATACACGTGTGTGCACGTGTAGGAGGAAGCGTAGGTGTTCCTAAGTTGTATAGCGTACACACGATGCGTGTGTACGGTAAGACAAGATAGGAGCTGGATAGCGTAAAATGAGAACTGTATTGTTTTCCTTAAAGGGTTTCCTTCCTAAACTGTTTATCAAATATCTAAGGGACTGTCAGCGGGTGGCTGACAGTGATTCGCATCGCTGATTGATAGAGGTGTGACGCACGCTACCAATAGGATCCCTTCAAATGCAGTCTTGGTGATTCCACACACCAAGACGGGAAACCTCAAACTCTAACCGGTTAACGTTACGGTTAGAGTTTCGTGTAACCCTGTTACACCACGTTAAGATTTGACGTGCTGGTCACAACACATCAATACAAGCTTTGACGAGTCCGTCAAGCCTCCGAGGGAACTCCGCGCTCATTTCGCAATGAGCGCCTCTCTGCGAACACCAGTGCTTTCGCTAGTGTCCGCGTCGACCTCAGTGTCGACGCCTGCGGCTGATCCTGCGTCCGCACCGACTTCCGTGCCTGTGTCGGCGGCAATGCCGACACCCCCAAGTGGCACGACAGAGAACTTCTTTGTCGACAAGTACTTCCAGCTCCAGAAGAAGAAGCTCGCTGAGGATGCCAAGACAGTCTGTCCTTCGACTGGCTTCGAAGGTTTGTCGGTCCTTTCGACCGGCGGTGGTATCCCCGTGGAACGTGCCACGGGCAGAGCTATCCGTCTGCCGGCGGCGTCGGACGCTTTTCATATGGTCAACCCCGGGTTGACCAAAGGTTTCTGTCGTTCTGAGAAGCAAAAATTTCGCGTCCTGGACAAAGTCCAGCACTTGAGAGCTGAACCCCGGGTTCAGCTCGTTGACCGTGTTTGCGTCTGTGCCCTGCACAGACTCGCACCTTGTGTTCGCATCAGTCCCAGACTGTGCGTGGATCTTCGTAGCGTGAGTGCCTGGCACTGACGTATTACTTGTGCTCACAGCAAGCCCCGCCTGTGTGTCAGTCTTCTCTGTACCAGTGCCCAGCACTGATACTACATACGTGGTCGCAACAGACCCTGTCCGTGCGTGACCCTTCTCAGTATTAATACCCTGTATTGATGCATCACTTGTGCTTGCAACAGGCTCTGCCTGTGCATGGTTCTTCGCGGTGGCTGTGCCCGGCATAGACCCGTTGCCATTGGAAGTAGCAGGTTCCGCCTGCTCGTAGTTCTTCACCGTGTCAGTGCCCGGCACTGACACGTCACCTTGGGTCACAGCGTGGCGCTGTCTCTTGCGGGCTCTCGCTCTCGCACGTAACTTCACTATGTCAGTGCCCAGCATTGACATATCTTCTTCTGAGGCTTCGGGGATGCCTTGTGCGGGCTCTCGCTCTCGCACTTGTCCTTACAACTGATATGTCCGTATCAATTGTCTTCTGCGGTTGATCGACATCAACCGTAGCGCCCCTCCCCCACTTAAAAAGGAAGACAGCCGGCTTCCTTACATCGTAAAGTAGACGTGCACACGGTACTAGTGTGCACTTGCTCGTAAGTGAGAGGTCAACTTCCGACGTATCATGTCGGAAGGAGCTGAGAGAAACTCGAACAGCTCTTGCGTCTGCGTCAAGCGCAAACGCAGCCTTCTCCGTGGAAAATTTATTCGGTCGTCGCGACAACACGTGTGCGACGACATTAAACCTTCCGGGTTTTGTGGACCCGGAAGTCGTACACCAGGGGGAGACAACCATCTCGCCCGAAGGACGAGATGTGCGGCGACTTCATCGTTGCCCACAACGTCGCCTGATCGGTATAGACAACGAACGACGTGTTGCCGAGTCATCGCACTCGGCACTTCTGGGGTGTATTCTTCATGGCAAGGGTTTCCTTGAAATGCACTGGATCATCAACGCGCATCCGATCGCGAAATCGGATGTGTACGGGAAAAGGGACGATCTTGGACAACCACTGCCAAGATCGGCGCAGCAGCCAAGCCCAGTTTGGTCGCATTTAACGGCTGCGACCACGCAGCGATCCATTTCCGTGCGCGTTTCTTCTTCCCGTCCACAGCCCGACTGTGAACGATTATCATGTAGAAGCAGTTCGGTGCGAAGTCGCGCACGGAACACAAGCAATGCGTTGCGCATTTTGCTTGATCCCGCGACAGTAGCCACTGTCGCGTCGGAATACTTCTTCCGAGGGAGTCCCGTCCGAGAGCACATCCATGTGCTCTCGCAGCATCTTGCAACCCTGCTCGTTGAAGCGTTCCTGCTTCGTCTTGCCACTGATTGTATCACCACTCTCAGTGGGGCTTCCAGCGAAGAGTTGGTCCAACTCCTCTGATTCGCTTGTCATTCTTTCGCAGTCCGAAAGAATGCATAGCTGTTCGATGCGTCCATCGTACAGGTCCTTTGCGAAGCGCTTCCAGCTCATGACTGGAAGCGAGGTCAACTCCGACGCATCAGTCGGAGGGTTCTCCAACTCCATCTTCTCGTACTGATACCCAGTACTGGCCCGCGTCAAGATGTTCAACGTCTCGACGGCCACCGTTGACACTTGTGTCTGCCCGGCAGACACACCATGAAGAGTCTCGATCCCGGACCGAGACTTGCGCAGCGTCTTGTGCTTGCGCCGTCGCTTCTTCTTGTGAATCCCTGATTTACTTGCGTTTCGTCCAGGCCCGGCCATGGACGAACGTTCCTTGATACCGCCGCCAGACATTCTAGTCTGCGGGCGACCGCCGGCGGGTTCTTGTACCCGCGGGCACGCGTCATCAAGCCCGGCTTGATCGCGCCCTGCTTCGTGCAGCCCGGCTGCACGACAGCACGCAAGCTTGAGTGCTGGACGTTTGCAACCGTCCGCACAACTTGTCGCATCGACTCCCGGAGTCGATGCTTTGTCGTCACCTCCACGCCTTACGGCGGAGCAGTGTATCGCAACTCCCAGAGCTGACACACCGTTGTCACCTCAACGCCTCACGGCGGTGAAGTCTCTCGATTTTAATATCGAGTTGCGTGTCAACTCCCGGAGTCGACACGCTGTTGTCACCTCGACGCCTTACGGCGGAGAATTTCTTCGTAATGTCCGGTCCCTGACCAGACACTCCTCTTCTGTCAACGACTCCCGGAGTCGTTACAGCCCACGCGCTCCGCGCGCTACTGTCTCTGAAGGAGGTTCGGATGCACCGTTAGGTGTATCCGCTGCGCTAACAGGGCCATCGCTCTCTGTTGCGCCGCGGCGTCCGAAGCGTACGACCGTACGCTTCTCCCAGTCGATAATAGGAGCAAGCTACGGCATGCCCAACTCGATGTCGAACTTGTCGTCCAAGTCCAGGACGAGAAGTTCTTCGACAAACACCCGGTGTTTGTACGAGAAGCCTGCGTGAATTACGCGCTTCTCGATCTTCACGATGGCACCCGTTGCCAATCGTGCTTCCAAGTGACTTCGAGGTACATGCTTCTCCTCGAAGTCCGACAACGACAGACGTTGCTGTCGAACAAGTTGTCCGACACGTCCGAGTCTGCCAACACTCGAAGAGAGTCCGCTCTCTTCGTCATCGACGTCATCTTCAAGA